TTTTTTTTTTTTTTTTTTTTTTTTAAATCACAGGTCTGTAACATAGCCCGTGAGCTGGATCTGGTCCATGGAGCCAGAGGGCTTTGCCTCTGCCTCTGCCTCAAGTCTGAGCAGCAAGAAACTGTGCTAGGAAACTGAAATCTATGCTCACACTGGTGCTTCTCTTTTCCTTTCTATTTCATTATCCCCACTTTTCCATCCCCAAGGTTGCAGTGTGGACACTGCAACAGCTGGAAGCCAGATGCTTAGTAGTGGGGGAGGGTGGGGCAGATGCAGGGAGAAGTAGCAGAAGTGTGAACGCAGCTTCTAGTTGACTGGCCCTGGTGTGGGCATCCACTGGCTAGAACTTGCTTGTGCCACAGCCAGAGAGCAGGGGGCTGGGAGAAGCAGTGCAGGCGCAGCTCCCAGGTACCTGGCCTCAGCATGGGCATGGATAAAGCCCCCTGCCACTGATGTACTGCATAAGCTACCCAGCCTGTGTCAGACTAGAGCCAGGTTGTTTTGGCTTAGGGCTTGAAACCTGGCACCAGCCAGCAACATTGCAAAACAGCTAAACAAAAAATAAGCAGTTTTGGGCAGAGCTTTGCAAGAGGCCCAGGCTTAACCATGAATGGTTAGCTAAAAGGAAAGACCTTGACAAACAAAGGAGAAAAGTTGCTGGGAGCTTTCCATATTTTGAAGAAAAGGCTTTGCATCTAATATTCATAGATATGAATAGTTGGGGATGGGGTAGAAAAGAAACTGAAATACAGAAGTAATACTTCCAATTTACAGGGGTCTCTGCATACCTGTTCTTGAGACATCTCAAGGTGCCAAAGTGGTCTGTTGTTGCTGGGAAATATTGCTAATGTAGGTATAGATTAAAAAGGACACACTTCATTTCTCTTTATAAAAGCAATACAAACACTTTATCAGGTTATTTCATGTTTAAACTCTATTTAAAAGCAAAACTAGATTGTTAAAAGACAAGATTTACTTGTCACTGCTGTGTATTTTAGCTTGAAATATGAAAATTAAATAACAAGTTTCACATTCACGTGCAGGTATGGCCTCAGCCAAAAATGAATGAATTCAGGCACCTGTCTTTTTCTGAATTACCTAAAATGTCATTGAAGAAAATATCTTTAGATGTCTAAATCCTTTTCTAGATATGACCCTGAGTTTCTAGCATATCTTACTCTTAGATCCTTATGCACAACATAAGTGTGCATTTTAGTGTGCGCTGCATAAATTCCATTAGTATTCTAATGGGGGGGAGGAATATTGTATTATTTACAGGAGTAGAGTGTTTGGGGGAGAAGGATTACATTAAACTTGATTACATAGAATCAATGAGTCGGAAGGGACCTAGACAGATCATCTAGTCCGACCCCCTGCCGTGGGCAGGAAGGAGCACTGGGGGTGGCAGGGTTCATAAGACCCCAGCCAGGTGCCTGTCCAGTCTCCTCTTGAAGATTTCCAGGGAAGGTGAGAGCACCACCTCTCTAGGAAGCCTATTCCAGGTTCTGGAGATGATGTAATACCGCTGGCTTTGGAAACAAAACCACAGGACAAAGATAGGTTCTTGGTTAAGGTAATGTTAACTCCTGTTTTCTGTATGGGTGCTGGAAGGAGAGGGAGGGGAACTTTGCATGAAAAATATAGCACTTTAAAAATACAAGCTCATATTTCTAGTTGATGGTGAGAATGTGACCCAAGATGCTCAAGTCTAAAAACACCTTTTTCAGAACGTGTATTGGTTATTTCAGAAGACTAACTACTTGCTTGAATGAAGTCACACAACTTTCAGTGAAAAGTGCTTATTTTTAATGTGCATAAAGTATGCACAAAACAGTATAGAACAGCTGCATGCAGACTTGAATCTTTTAATTGTTCTTTCTTATCCCATCCTTCACACTTGCTCTTCTTTTCCACTGCCTTGAGTTGTCAGCTGTAGACTGCAGAGTCTTTAACAGCTACTCTCTTGGACTGAAGTCTTAAAAAAATAAAAATAAAAAAAAATAGCATGGCAGATCATCCTAATGGAGTTGGGGTGAACTGTTTCCCAAAGGTCGTATAAATCCTATATTGCCATTAACTACTGGTGCTCAACCTTTTGGCCTTGTGTGGCTGGGCCTACAATGTAGATCTGCCCTGTGCACGGCAATTGGGCCCTGCACCACCCACAAATGCCAGGATTGGGCTCTGGTGTCCCACACTGCTTCTCTTGTGTTAGGATCAGGCTCTACACACAGGGATCAGGCCCTGGTGTCCTTCACCCTAGAGCCAGGCCCTTGGTCCCCAGGCTACCTTGGATGCCTAATCTAGCAGGCAGGGCCACACTATCCAGCCCACAGGGGTGGCTTTTGGGACCTGGGTGGAGCCCTGCAGGGTAGATGACATATCTCTGAGGGCTAGCTGAGCACCCCTGTTGTAAACCATTGGAATAACTACCCCAGGCAACTTCTTCATTAACAACCTGATGCTCTGTTTCTGCCTTAAAATAGTGATGGATGAAGTTGGCATGTCAGATATATCTGTGCAGCACTATAGAGAATATACTTAATACCCTATGTATGATACTGCAGATATGCTACACTCTGGATGACTTATGGCTTGTTCTGCTAAAAGACTGAGAAATCTAAAACAGGCCCTAAATAAAATTGAGATGCCCATCTTCAAAATTTTGATCTTAAGAAAACCCTGCTCAGTTGCCCCCAACATTAGAGAAGCAAAGCTGCTGTGGAACCCTGCTTGACTACAGG